AAACCAAGTAGGAGTAAGTGAGTGTAAAAGTATTTGTCCCAGTACAAATACTGTAGTGTGTCTCTTCTTTCATCTCTTGACTTCAAACTTCCGTAGCTTCTCCTTATTTAACTTTAATATTCTGCAAGACAAACTTTCGGCTAAAATATTAGAACCATCCGCTTTAGCTTTCTGCTACTTATTGCCTTAAAGGTCTTATGGGGCTATACACCACGCGCTTCTGTTTTAAACTAATATTTTACTGGGTTTCCTTGAGTTTAGTGCTTGTTTTGTAAAATAGTTTTTGCTCCGGTATTGGTTTTGGTGATCAGCGGAAAGAGTTTTTTGCTTGGCGGGATTAATAAATGCATTACAGAATGTTATAGAAATTGTTGTAACTTATCCTCAAAGCCTTTTATATTAAATTGCTTATAAAAGAGTACCATTTTTTCTCGTAATAAAATAATAAGAACCTTCAGATAATAATAAATCAAATAAATAAAACTTAAACCTTACCTTATATAACGTTCTCATAAAACCTCATATAATTTTGCTTGTTAAATCATCCCTTCGGGTTATAACAATAAATTGCTAAATTACTATTGTCACGCCTTTGTCGAGTTACCTTATCATATTATTTTAAGTTTCTTTTATTTAATAATAAAACGTACAATTCACCCCGTAACAGTAGTGATAGTAATTTAATATAAATTAAATCTCTACTAGTTAAAAAAAAACCAAGTATGCTATAGATAATATATTTAAAAAATCATAAAAATATCTTAACTGATTAAAGGAAAAACATTTTCTGAAAGCACTAAGCAAAAAAAAAAAAAAACTTCTACAAAAATTATCATCTTAATAAAGTTTTTCAGCAATATCAGCTAATATTAATACATCATTACCTTTTGGATTAAAAAATTTTAGAAATTTTGAATCTCCTAATGAATTAGGATATTGTATTCATTTTCAGTTGCCTTGCAAAAATATTTTGCCATTAACTTAGCTTCGATCAATTCACTTGGTATAATATTTGTAACCCAATGAATATGAAAAATTCTTCAACATCTGGTTCACAACTTTAAGTATTCACATTTTTAATTTTTTTTGTTTATGCGACTTTTAATATCTCTGCCTTTCGAGCTATCTTTCAATAATTTGTTTTTAGTTTCATTTTCTTGTTCTTTTTGTAACACTTTAGCAAAAAGAAAAAGAATTGAGATAAAGAGTAAATAAGATTTAGTACTTTAGTATGCTGGTCATTGATTCAATCTTCAACATCTTGTAGTATTGGTAATACAGGTGTTGAAACTTCATTAAAATTAAAATGTTGTAAGAATATTCTCTGTAAATCTTTTAGATCTTTATTTGATGAAAAAATATCATTCATTCTTTTTCTAATCAAATTCTTTATATATTCTGATGGGCTTTAAGCTTATTACTATATGTAATAGATATAATAATATTTCCTGTTTGTAATTCTTTAGATGTTGATAGTTAATAAATGAAAAAATTAAAAACTTTAGAACTATTGTATTATAATATTATATCACAAGATAATTTTTTCTTTTTATTAAAAGTTTTTTCAACTTCTGATTCTAACAATTTTAGGTTAAATTATTAGTTTTGCAATTTTTTATTATATATTCAAAAACTGGTCACATACTATCAGAATCAGAACTTGATTCAGATAGTTCCTTTTGTTTGCTTTTATTTTGCTCTCTACTATCGTAATCAGATTTACATTTCAATTTCTTTATAAAATTTTGTTTATATTAATGACAGCATACATTTAATAAGAATTAGTCATACTGATACTGCTTTCAAACTAAAATTTTTATCTGACTAATTTTTGGTGGTTCAATGTTCTCTATCAGAACAATTAGATACAGAGTGTTCTTTTATGAGATTAAATAATAAAGATTTGTTATTATTGGAGGTATTCAAGTATAAATATAATAAATTTTTAACCTCTTCAGAAATAACTCCATCTTCTTTCTCATTAATCTTGTCATTAATCAGCTGGCTACTTTTTTCCGATAGATTATCATTATTTGATAAGATATTTGTTGGCTTTAATTTCATAAAATAGTTATTTAAAATATTGATTCTAATGAGTTTAATTTGAGTATTTATATTCTTGCCTTTTGTTTTAATTTATTTTGGAGTTTATAATAGCACCCTTTTTAATAATAATAATTTGGTCGATATAATAATCATTAAATTTAAGAATTATAATACAGAGATCGAATTCAGGACTTTTTTTTTTACATAAATACTACAGTCTGATCTAACAGAATCTCTGTTTCATCAATTTCCTTTTAGCAAATATATATACATTGTTAGACAATAACAATTAAAACTTTTATGATGATGCTCAATCTATACCCAACCTTCAGACCTTAAAGAAAGTGATATAAGCATTAAATTTTATTATTAATCATATGCCCAAAAGCAGTGCAATTAGATATTGTGATTTTGAATAGTTATTAATATATCATAGGCACTACTGAACGATAATAGAATTAGAGTTTATTAAAAATTTTTGGTTCTTAACAGATTTTAATTAATATCAATATTGAAATCAGGTTCACAAGGAATCAATTTCAATTAATTAATTTTTTACTTAGGCTCAATATCTTGTTCATATATTATGATAAAATGGGTGATATTATTATAAAATATCAATAGTACTTAATAAAGCTCTGAAAATTTAAAAAGCTTCATATAAAAATTTCGATCAAAAAAGTCGTAAACAGTATATTAAATTGATTTATACTTTGTTTAATGCTACTTAAAAGATATATGAGGTGCCTACATACATACCTTCAGTGGTTGTTACATAATTAATTTATCATTTTAGTGAGCTAGGTGTTTTTGTAAGCATCGAAATTTATATTTTCTCACAAATTCGCTAATTAATTACAAAACATGTTTTGTTGGTTATAAAAAAAATTCAATTATATCATGTTCCTTTTAATAACTTCGCTTGCACCAAAATCACTTTTATTTTGATGAGAATTAATCCAAATAGTTGCGGGCCTAAAACCAAGATCTGAAGTATCTTAAAGTAATTTTTGAGCTGTAGTAATATTTTGTTTGCAACCAAATCCCCCAAGATAGTACATTCCTAATTTATTTTTGACTTGACCTTTAATATCATTATTACCTTCATTTTGAATTGTTTGAAAAAATTTGAAGGATTTATTATAATCATTAGATGCACAAGCTTTAATAAAGCATTTTTGTAGAGTTTGTATATATTCAACTTGAACTTTTTCAAAATTTGTTTTAGCTTTTTTAAAATTTGTTTTAGCTTTTTCAAAATCTGATTTAGCTCTTTAAAATTCTTTAATAACTTCTTTCAACATTTCAGTAATATAGTATGTTAAAACAAACTGATACGCTTTTTATATTTGTTTTATAGAATACAATGTTGTTATAAAAATTTATAATAAATTGTTTATTGGTTTAAGGTATTATTGATAATTATAAATTTAATTGGCAAAGAAAATTATCGTTATATTTTTATTAAGTTTTATAATTAAATCATTAATACGAGATTATATATATAGCTTTTATTAGGATAGGAATTTACTTATTAATAATTATAAATTTAATTGAAATTATGAAGAAAATTATATTTTAATTGAATTTGATTTTTCTTAAAAAGTATTTGGATTTTATCAAAATCGATGCTATAATCATTTGCAATCATATAGTTTTGAATTTTAACTAAATAGACTCAATAAATAGTCATATACCATTTTTTTTTCTTTTTTTTACTATTATCTAAGACAATATAAACATGAGATCAATAAAAATTAATTAAAAAATTTATATAGATATCAATTAAATCCCTTCTGTTTATTAATTTTTTAAATTAGAGCATATAATTTTCTTGGTTTATTGCTCTTAATAATGAATTGGTGATATTTCTGTATTGTAAGCAATTTAATAATACATAAAATAAAAAAAAAAGGAAATACAAAAATTAAATAGGATCCAAATTGTGACCCTGACGTTAATAATTTTTCTGCTTCTATTAACAGTAGATGATTCAACTAAATGAAAAAAAGTCAAAAGGTGGACAAAAAATAAGTAAATTATAAAACTGTAAAATAGTTGCATAAAAAAAAATAGCATTTAATGTCAATGCATCATTTGTTCGATTTCACATATTTTATTCCGATCAGCATCTGCTTCTTTATCATTTTATAGAGTTTTAGTGATTATCTAATATCTCTTCATCATTGGTTTAATTTCCAATGAATCATTTAAATCTATAAGCGATTCTTTATACTTGCCTATCTTATGATAAGTTTTTTAATTTATTTGTCTTATTCAGATCAATTTTTAATGATCTGGTTAAATCTTCATATTTTTTTATTATTCGATAAACTTCTTAGTGCAAAAGCGTTATCTGTATCAATTTTTAACTGCAAATGCCTCTTCTTCATGAAATAAATTTCCATGGGTTCCTAATGCAAAAGCATCATTTGGTTCATAAACTAGTTTAGTTATTTCAGAGTTATTGTTATATAATAATTGTTATCGTTATGCATTAACGTAACGTAACTAGGAAATAATTTATAATTAGCATTACTGTTACACAACAGTATAACCTATATTACTATAAAAATAACTTTTATTCTTTACATATAATTTTCAAACACTGTTTTACCTATTATTAACTAATAACGTATTTTAATAATCTAACAATAAATAGACTCTTAACGATACATCAGGATTTATAACACGGAAGAGCTAAATTTTGCAATGAAAGATAAAAAGCTTAAAATAATTTTTTTTTTTCGAAAAATCTAATTCTACTGTAAAAATAGGAACTGATTTCGAAAAAGAAATTATTAATGACTTGGAACGTCTTGGAGTAAATTGTGTTTATATGGGGTAAGTAAATTTCATTGAGTTATTTGTTAAGTCGTTATGTATCTGAAGATATGCTGCTATTAAATGTAAAATATTGGAGAATGAAAGCTCATCATAACCGCAGCTTCAGCTGTGAACATTCTTCCCTGTTTCCTTAAAATCTCACACTGGTTTGGCTCTAGGGATTTATGGTGAATAGGACACATTACCAATAAATTAAAAGCTCATCGTGGCCGCAATTATATTATTGCAATTGTGAACGTTCTTCTTGGTTTTGATAATAATAATACAATTACTCACATTTTATTAAATTTTTAGAGGACCAAGAGACAATGGATAGAGTTGTAAAATTACTATAATTTTACGTAAGTTTCTGAAATCAGTTATTTTGATCGTGTGAATAATTTTGGTCAAAATTTGTAATAATAATATCTTGAGTCATTGGGTATTAGTGGATTTTACCCAGACAGTGTTAACAGGAATATATGACTGGCTGCATGAGCAGCTAGTCATATATTTACATTAACACTGTCTTAGAAAAATCTACTATACCAAATGACTCAAGATATTATTACTTAATACTCTGACCTCTCATATGATAAAAAAATGTCATTACCTCACATTTAAACTTTTACAGTAAATAAAATAATATTAAATTTAAAGGTTCAAGTATTTTTTTTCTCTAATTCATAAAAAAAAAAAACAATAAACGTTTCTTTATAAAAAAAATATATCTGATTTTTATTCATTTTTATTCAACTTATTTAATACTCGTAAAAATTTGAAAGACTATTGAAAGAAAGTCTTTAATTATACAAAAAAAATGAAACGCCAAAAAAAGTACTATAATGTGTAATTTAAAAGATATTCGACCTTATTACATCTGAATATAAATTGCAGATCTTCTTTTTGAATTCATTATTTAAGTAAAGACACTAAATAATACGGTCAGAATCTTTATATGAGAATTACTATTATGAAAATAGTGATATTAGATATATGTTTATTTTACATTTATATTTGTAATTCAATAAATAAAATTTAAATTTTATACCTCAAGAATAATGATAATAATGAAGCTGAAGAAAATAACGAAGTTAATTGTAAAATTGACAACAAATATAATAATGATAATAATAAACACAAATTCGCATAGCTTAAGTTTTAACTTTATTGATAAAATTAAAATTTTTATTAGTTGTTAAAATAATTTAAAAACTTTAATGTACACTTTAAAATGCTGTAATAGTTAGTCAGGTTGTTCTTAAAGGGTAATATCCTGATAATTTGCTGAGTTTATAATATACTAACTAGTTGTAAATTACTTCCTGACAAAAATCATGTGAGAGAGTTGAGCCAGAGTATTATTGTAAAAATGAGTATAAAAATTATAGCTCCGAATATAATGATGGATATTTATTAATACTAGCAAAACTTTTGTAATGATAGTGCAATTATCATATAACAATACATTATTTAATATAAAATAACATTAAAGTTCGTAAGTTAAAATTGTAAAATGTAATTTTTAACCCTAACAGTGGTATCGAAGATACAAAATTTATTATTCATTGCAAACATTGAAATATAAACTTACTTTATCAAATATCAAAAGGTCCCAAATAGTGATGCTAACAATACTTTTATCAAACTTGATAAAGGTATAAACTAGTTACGTGATAAGTTTATACTATGAGGCTCAGTAAAAACTATTAAAGTATAAACTGATAAAACTTTATATCATGTAATAAAACTAAGAAATAATATTATCATGCATAATTACACAAAAAAATACTCACAGTAATTTTATAGCAAATACAAATTGTTACTAATTTGTATTTAAAATAATAAATTTTTATTATAATTTTTTTATAATTTTTCTAAAAAACTTCTGTTTTTTATAAGAATTGTATATCACAAATATTAAGTATAATTTATATTTCATTATTATCTTTCATAAAGTAGTTATGATTTTTTTAATATATATATAAGTTAAAAAGGATTTTTAATTAAAGATTACTATTACGTATCTTTTATTATAAAAAAATTGTATAACAGGATTATGATGATCAAAAAAAAATCACATTATTTAGTGATCAAATATATTTCTATAAATATAATTAATCAGAAAATCTTCACAATTCATATGAATATATGCGAAATAGATATATCATCTTAGATTTAGCACTTGTTTTTTATAAGCAAATACATATTTCTGATTAAATTAAAAACAATCTATTTACCTTTAAGTATTATATAATATCTATAGTTTTCTTGTTATATTCATAAATAAAAGAGGATCTTCAACTTAAGTTAATTATAATGTTAGAAAATGAATTGTTACTAGATAATGAAATCTCTATATCACATATTCAACATGATTTTTTTAATGATTCTGATAATGAAACTTTCCGTTCTGATAGTAAAGTTTATGAAAACAATTTAGAAACAGTCTATACTTTTAATAATGAAGTATTACAATATGCATGCAAAATAGCTGAAGAAAAAGAAGAGATAACAGATGATGAGCTACTTAAAAGTTTAAGTAATATTGATGATGAGTTATTTGAATGCCTAAGTAATAGTGATGAATCATTAATGAATATAGAAACTGAATCAATTTTAATAAGATCTGAAAAATCAACAAGTTTATTTACAAATAATAATATGTCTCAAATATTTACAGCTTGTTGTGTTATTAATAATTTAGATAGTAAAATTCAATGATGCAATACAACTAAAGATCTTAAAAAACTATAGCAACTTGTTGAGATGTGGGAAATTGCAGAAAATGCTGTACAAGAAGTAGGAGGCAATATTCAATAATTAAAAGTATATAATGCATATTTACTATTTGATCAAAATAAGTTGCACAAAGAAAGTCTTAAAAAAAGAACTCAAACTATTGATAGTTTAATTCATTACAAAAGATGCTTATTTTGTGATATTAATAAATATTTTTATAGTCATAGGAAAATATGCTCTCAGCATTCATAGAATCTTTTAGATCAAAATTTACAAATTTCTTGTATTAGTCAGACATATTATCCTGCTTTAAAACAACAAAATTGCTTTTTGATTATTCAATCTACTACTAATAGTTCACAATCATATTATGTTTGTTGTAACTGTTTTGAAAAAAATAGTAGTTATTTGTATTATTGGCTTAGAAAAGGCAAACCTATTAAAACATATCAAAAATCTGGACTACATAATAAAGATACTACTTTAGCTCTTAAATTACTTAGTAAATTAATATTCAATATCACAGAATTTAGTAATACTAAAATAAAAAGAAATCTTTTAAATTATTTAAGTCCTACTTTGCAAATTTTAATAGATAATAGTTTATCTT